TGAAATAACAAAGTATTATAAAATAAAATGATACAAAATAAATAAAACTTTATAAATAAAATGAAATTAAAGCAAATAATATAAAAGTAAAAATAGAGATGAACGAAAATAATATACATAAAAAAGAATAAAGGTTTCCAGCTAGTGTTACCCTGTCTCTGCTTCCACTGTTTTCAAAGCAGGAGTGTTGCCATCCATAGAGACGACATAACCTTACCAGCGTGTACTATGTCAATCTCATGGTATAACTTGTGTGAAGCTTATCGTTCCATCGTCTGCGGTATTTGCCTTTGCCAATGCGCAAAGAACCATAAATCGTTTGCAAACATTCTCTCTCGAAGAGAGAGTATGATGAGCGACTAGTAGAGTTTGGTTTTTGTTCGTCGATAGAGGACTTTAACTTTTTAATTGCCTACTCAGTCCAATTGATGGCAAGAGTGATTCTGCGTTGGATTTCAGGGCTGAAATAATTATTATTAGTGCTAATGCTGATCCCAGCCTAGATGGACGAAATTAGTTACGATTTTAATGTAACGACTGTCCATGGTGACATGGGAGCCAAGATGCGAATACGATGACCGTTTTGTTTGATGATAGGATATCTTTTGTCTTGCCTTCATTTACCACCAGATTCATGCGCTATTCGCCCGTGAGTAACGTTGGCTCCACTTAAACTCGAAGGCTATATACAGGTTCATTGTTATATCATAGATACTTTTGAAAAGTCTGGCATCCTCATTTTAGGCGTGACAGCGGCTGATATCGATGGTCGCTGACTAATCGCATGAACAAAAAATGTGTCGAAGAATGCCCGCAAAACTCTCAAAATTTTTACCTACTAAAATGCTACGATATTGCAGAGCGGCAGTTTCAAGTGACAGAATGACGGAAAGTACACATACAAGTAAAGAACTTCTCGTTACACGTGCTCTCAATATGCTACTCAGCATGTGATGCTATGTAATTACGTATATAAATATGTAGATGAGTAGCTGACACACCGGGTAGCGACGTCACTCTCCCCATGCACACAACGCATGCGTCTCAACGAAACGACCTTCCGACAGTTAACGTAGTGCTCTTCGTGCTTCATCACGCCACCGACCGCCGGATACGGCATTGACTGTCAGCGATGTCACCAACTCTGTACTAGGTGTGCTGACATTTCAAACTAAAAAGCTCGTGTGTCAATCTCGATTAGACTGGGCCTGTCAGTCAACAAATATTCGCATACTCTTTCCTGCGTTGCCAACTATATGGACATCGCATACACTGCAATTATCGTAGACAGAAGTTACGACTCATTCACGCAGTTGTCGCCCGCATTGCTGAATCAGCGTTGCGGGGTGCCGGCAGCCAACCATCTCACTAGCTATTTGTTACAATTATTATGAAATCAACCGTTAGGGCGGTCTAAAGCGTACTTGCCTCCTGCGTCCGTTGTTACACATAAATTCGTGTGTTGCGTGTGGCATGCATTCAACAAACAAACGCCGAGCTTGCGACCGCCCCTAAGGTTAGAGGGTGGAAGCGTTACAGCGGGTACGCAAACATGCCGCAATAGAAGGGCGGTGATGTCAAAAGACCATGATTTAGACAGTGCGTTGAGTGAATAAATTCATAATTGAGAGAGAGAGGGTGAGATAAAGAGAGAGAGAGATTATCTAAGTTTTTACTGTTTTTGGTACGGAGAGCACACACGTGACAATAAACTTTCATGAGTGACTTATGCGCGCTGAGCAAATTTCGGGTACTTTCCCAATATCGTTCATACAAACATATGTTATTTGCTACATATTGTGCGCTATCTATGGAACCACAGTCTGTCATAAAAGTACGGGGTCGCTCTTTAACTTTTTACAAAAAAAAAAAAAAGAAAACTAAAAACACAAACATTTTTTTTTGCTTCTGTATTAAAATTCTTTTAATGTTATTCTTAAGTTTTTTTGTTTTACTTTTTACTTTATTTTGTTCTGTTCTATTAAGTATTGTTTTATTTAATTAATTTTGTTTTATTATTATTATTTTATTATTATTATTTTATTATTATTATTATTTATTTATTTTGTTTAAATTCGTTTATTACTTTTTTAAAATTTCTCTTAATTTTGCCATATAATATTTTATTATTTCTTATTTTTTTTTAATTTAAAATTATTTTTTCTATACAAATTTTTTTTTTTTTATTTTTATTCATTTATTTCAAATTAATATATTTCAATTTAATTTAATTCTTTTTAAATTTAATCTTTTTTGTTCACGACTTATTTAGTTTAAATCTATTTAACTTGATATATTTTTTTATTTTATAGCTGATTCATCTTGTGTTCATTCTATATTATTATTATTATTTTTATATTAATTGATATCGATTTATCTCATTTTAATTTGTGTTAATTTATTTAATTTTATTTTACGTTATTTCATTTTCCTTTCTTTAATTTTCTTTTATTTTGATTTATTTTACTTATCTTTATTTTTCATTTCCCTTATTCAATTTAATACACTTTAATTAACTTTAATTGAATTTAATTAATGATATATAATTAAATAATGTTTTTATTTGTTTTAGCTTATTTTAATTTATTATATTTATATTATATTATTTTATTTTGTCCTATTGCTTTTAATTTACATTTATTTAATTTTTTTATTTAGTTAAATTTATTGTATTATTTTAATTAAATGTCCTTCAGTTCATTCCATTTCCTTTTAATTTATTTAATTTAATTTTATTCAATTTGATATAACTTGGTTTAATAGAGCTCAATATATTTTTTCAAACTAATTTAATTTTATTTTAATTTAGTTTAATTTTAATTAACTTTATATATTTTATTCTAATTTTATATTGTTTTATTTTACTTTAAAATTTAATTTGAGTTTAATTTATGTTTTTAAATTTAATTTAATTTAATATTATTTAATTTAATTTAATGTAATTTAATTTTTTTTTATTTTATATTATTTTATTTTATTTTAATTTATTTTGTTTTATTTTCATTTGATTTAATTTCATTTCATTTTACTTTAAATTAGTTTATTTCAATTTAATTTTATTGCTTTCTAATTCATTTTGTTTTGTTTAATTTGATTTGATTTGATTTTATTATTTTATTTTATTTTATTTTATTTTAGTTTGTTTTATTTTATATTTTTAAGAATTTAATTTAATTTTATTATATTTTAAATTAATTTATTTTATGTATATATTTTTATTTTTATTTATTTTAATTTAATTAAATTATTTTATTTATTTTATTTATTTTAATTAAGGTAATTGTATTTTATTTTACGTATTTCTTATATATTTTTTACTTTATTCATTTAATTTTGTTTTATTATGGTTTATTTTCTTTAAATTTCTCTTATGTTTTTTTTACAAGTTGTTTTATTATATTTTCTTTTATTCTAATAAATTAAATTTTATTTGACTTTATTTTATTTTATAATTTAATTTTATTTAACTTTATTTTATTGGGATTTATTTTATTTACTTTACTTAAGTTTTCTATTTTGTTTTATTTAATTGTTTTTCATTTTATTTTAATTTATTTCATTGTTTTAATTTTCATAAAAATTTGTATCTTATTTTTAGCTTTAATATTAATTTTAATTTATTATAAAAATTTCATTCATTTAATTTTTTCTTATGTAATTTTATTATCTTTTCTTTTATTTTCTTTAATTTAATTTTATTTTAATTTTATATCATTTTTAAAAATTTAATTAACTGTTTAATTCTTTTCTTGTTCACTGTACGTGTGCACACTATAAATGGGGGAGGGCGCGCTGATGGCTCACTAAATTGCCTAGCACAGTGCGGTGGTGGCGTTATGTGCTTGTGTGTGTGTGTGTGTGTGCGTACAATTTGGTCGCAAGAACATTTGTAGAGTGAAAATTATAGGTTAGCAAGTGTCGGCTGTCACCCTTTACGATTCAGTATTGGCGTGTACTCGGCGCATACGGAGCAGCAGTTGATTTTCACGGCGCAAGCGAGCAGCGAAGAACTGACAAGAACATACAAAAGACCAAAAAAAAAATCATATAAATTTTTGTATATCGGACGGCTAGCGCTCTGTGTCTGTGAATAATCAGCAGCAGCTAGAAAAAATAGTAAAATATAAAATAAAATTAGAAGAAACTAAGAAAAGGCTTAAGGAAATTTCTTCTGCAGTGAGGAGGTGGCAAGGCACATACATACCTAACTGTTGTTTGACAAAATCTGATTTGATTGTGCGGTGTGGAAAGGCGAAAAACGAAAAAAGGTGTGGAAACTACATTTTTTTTATCGGAATTTCAGTTTCGCTGTTCAGGCGAAAAGTGTGCTGCGAGCCAATAAATTGTGCGTGAGTGTGCTTATGTGTGCAGCTGTGAATCAGTTTTATAACGAAAAAAAAGAAAAGAAATAATACGGCATAAAAGTTAGAAGATTAAACAGCTTTTGCAGTGCAACATGGAATAAGACTTGCAAAAGTTGTTGTAAAATTCTTAAAAGTTATAAAACAAAAGTGCGAGTGGGGTAAAAGTGAAGTATCTAATGGCACTACCACTTGGAAAGCGAAATGTGTGAAAATTGCAAAAAACTTCACAGGAAATGAGCGTGAGTTGGGTAAGAGCGGAGCATAGGTAGAGGAAACGGAAAACGAGTGAAAGTAGGCACAAGCGAGGCGATTAAAGTTAGAAGGAAGCAAGTAAAGGATAGCGAATTTCACAAAAAGGGAGTAACAGAAGCGGCGCAGGAAGGAGAAAAAGAAGTGGAAGAAAGAAGAAGGAGGAAATAGGAGTAGAAGATAAAAAGATAAGAAGATTAACAAAAGTAAGTAGAATTAAGAAGAAAACTAAAAGGAAGTATGCTATTTTAGGATAAACGTGGTGGACAGAAAAAAGTAGAAATAAAAAAAAAAACCAGATGAGAATTGAAAAATAATTTGAATAAATTAAAAAAACTAAAAAGAAAATTAAAAAAAAAATTAAAAATTTATTTAGGGAAAGCTACAACAAATCTTTAACAGCAACGTAATGTAAACGAAATGAGAAGGCGGGAAGTGGCGAGTAAATGAAAATTAAAATAAAATAAAATTAACAGTGAACTGAGCGCTCCAGACAGCTTCAAGTCGCTTCCTTGTAATGTTCAAAATTAGAAGTTAATTAAAAAAAAAAAATAAAAATAAATAAAAATTTCATTTATTTAAATTAAAATTAAGACTATAAATATAAATTTTGCAAACAATAAAAGTGCCAGAGCAATTAAGCAACAAAAATTTTAAGGAAAAAAAAACAGCTGACTCTCAACAGCAACAGCGTTGTCATAGTAGCGACTGCAGTAATGAGTTAAATAAATAAATTTAAATGATTTCAACGACAATGGAGCACAAACAACGTTAAAACTCCACTTTGGTCAAATCCACACAGTCAAAACGAAGTCAGAAAGGGCGACTAAAAGCGGTGACCAAAAGAGCAGTGGAAAAAAGGAGTAGAGCAATTGAGTCGAAAGCGTACACAGCTGTATGGAAATTCAATGAGTAAGTATGTAAATGAGTGCTTCAGCTTCAGGCTGAGTGTTACTGAGTGAGTTTCGGTAGCCGGCAGGCGATGAACGATTTTTTTTTCTATTTACTGTATTGGAATATTCACAGAATTCCGAAAATATAGACGTTACTATTTGAGTTAAATAGTGGCAACATTTTTTCGAGGGCTAAGAATGAAAGTGGGTGGACCGCAAATGTAGATCCAGAATTGGAAAAGTTCCTACTTCACACTAAAAAAAAAATCTGTGGTTTAAATATTATAAAGTGTTAAAGTGTGATATCCTCAGTGCTGTGAAAGTTGGAAACACCAGTAGTGCAGTCCGAATTGAGATGGACCTATACGAGTCGTTCAAAACCAAGCGAGATTCCAGACAAATTGACTCTTTATTGTGTGACTCCTTTTAACTAATACGAGCAATGCAGGGCTAAATCTGAGCGGTTCAATGATATTAATTTCAATGGCTTCGATGATCACGCTGTTGTTTTTGCGCTCCCTAGATGGGACGCATAAGCAAAATCTTAATGAACGAGGAAAATACGAAATAAGTGAAATAAAAACTCAGTCTAATCAATATTTCCAACGCAAAATCGCTCTTTCACACAGACGCTACTTTCGACTGAGTAGGCAATCGAGCACTTAACTTCTCTCTTGACGAATAACAATCAAGCCCTACAGTTTATCCATTATTCCAGTGCCAATTTATGGTTTAGACCTTTGGACTTGACGATGGCAAGATACGATGATTCGTCTTTAACAGATAGAGAGAAACATTTTGCGTTCTTTGGAAAGGTTAAACCGGAAAATAAACTGACTTCAATCAACTTAATCAATTAAAACGGTCCAATTGATAGTCTCCATATAAAAACCAGTGATCGTCTTTCGTCTTTTCATGAACTACATACTCATCATGAGTGCGTGCATCTAGATAGATTTGCATGAATGTAGATGTGGTTGCCGCTATGTGAGTACTTGGACTCACGACTCCAAAATATCGAAATCCATATCTGCTTAAGCCGGCGCAATCAAATGGCGGTTAAAAAGTCATCCTACTACATATTCTGATAGCGAACTCAAGACTCTCCTCATATTGCCCTGTGAGACAATATTTCGTCATGACTTCTATTACGTAGGAAATCTCCCCCATTACGCGAGCTTCTCCATTTCCATTTATATTTATTTTGAATTATGAGAGCTCAAATTTTGCCCCACCTTAGCGTGGCTTGTCTGTGAAAATACTTCTTCAGTAGCAGTTTTCATAGGACCAGAGTCATATCAATGTGTGTTTTATACAGAAGAATCCGCTTGGTCGTAACTTACGTAGCGATATACATATACTCTCCAGCTCCCCGCTATATCTCTGTAACCAAGAAACTGTGCGATGGTTAATCAATATTGTTCAGTCATCTCCTGAAGAGATCTGCGTTACATATTCTTGCCTTAACCATGTGGTGTGATGTTGTGTGATGACCGCGACGTGCGTGGAATTTATTGTAGTTAGAAAGTGGCATCTCCTTTCGCTTGATCATTCACCACAGCGCTGCATTACATCTTGTTGAAAGCTTGCTTAAGGTGATTCTGTATTTTAGCGCCACTCTTGCTGATCCTATTGAAGAGATCTGTTAGCAGCTTGGCCATGCAAGTATATGGTTTCGAACAATCATTCTGCGGCTTTCGTGATGACGCTGAGTTCTGTTTTCATAAAGCTTTAAACCATCTGTGAAGATGTGTGTGTTTGCCCATTCATACAGGTTCTGGATTCGTGTGGAGAAGCGATTGCCAAACTGCCCTGCCCTGTTGCGCGATACCGCCAAAGGCTGAGCCGCAACCAGCCTAATATCCTTGCAGCTCGCTTGAAGTTTTCCATATAGATCCAGGCAAAGAAAATTGACTAGAGTATCCCGGGACTTCGATAGAGTTGACGGCAGATCTCAGGTAATGCGAAAAGCTGCCGATTGCCGAAATCTTCAGCTTCGTCTTGAAAGTATATTGTTCGAGTACTGCCACCAGACAGTGTCCCCGAGAAAGCCTTTCTCGACCTTTCCACTATATTTTTACGCTCCAGTTGAGTTTACTAACTAAGATTATCAGGAGATATCTGACTTCTTGTGGTTTATATCTGAAGCGCTAAAAAAATTAACGAAAAAAGGTATAAAATAAATAACGAGAAAAAGTACAAATGAAATAAAGAGAATAGACTCAGAAAAAATGAAATAAAAAAATAATTAATAAAATAAAAATAAAATAAAATANAAAATAAAATAAAATAAACTAAAATAAAATTAAATAAAATAAAATAAAATAAAATAAATAAAATAAAATAAAAAAATATAAAAAAAATAAAAATACATAAAAGAAATGAAAAGAATAGATTCGGAAAAATAAATTAAAAAATTGAAAATAAAGGTGTTACAGGGGAAAAGGTTAAAAAACAAACAAAAATAAGATGAAAAATTGTATTGCAAAAAATTAAAAAAAATTGATAAATTCAAAATAGTTGCCTTAGCAAAGATATGTATATATATATTTATATGCATGTATGTAAACCTTTCTGCACATCTTGTACGTAATAGACGACACTACGAAGAAATCTACGACAAAAATGATATTTTTAGCACAAGATTTTCTATTCTCTACTAGTTTCTCCTCCCCACGGTACCATAGCAGACGCATGAGACCTGATTGTGATTATATCTATGTATCTAAGAATATATATCTATGTACATATGTTTGTAGGTGCATATAACGTACAGCGACAGATCATAAAGTGTCGCACTTGAGCCGTTTAAATGCCTTTAAGGTGATATAAATGTGTATACAAGCATACATACATATGTATGTATGTACATGCATATAATATATGGGGAAAAAGCGACCTGCGGCTGTTTAAATTATTTAAAAAAAAAGTGTCAAATTAATTTATGTACATACATATATGTGAGTGCACACATTTTTAGAACTTAACAAATAGGCAGACAAGCATACATACTTACAAGCAAATTTAGTATAAATGTACATACATATGCAGGTGAATAGCAACAAAAGTAATTTTAGCAAGGAAATTAGTAGTTGAAATTTTAATTAAAATATATTCAAATTTTTTATATTTTTTATCATTTTTTTTATGTCCAAATGAAATTTTTGGAAAGGAAATTTTTTAAATATATTTAAATAGAAAATTTAAAGAAATGGTAGTTTTTCAGTATGCATATACTTTCGGCAAGAAATTATTTAAAAAAAAAAATTATGAAAAAATTTACCTCTTCATTTGTGTAGGAATATTTTTGATTAAAAAATTTCTTTAAAAAATTTTCATAATTAAATTTAGTAAGAAAATTGTTAATAAAATTATTAATTTAAAAAGTTAAATTAATAATGTCTATAAATTTACCTTTTCATTTGAATAATTTTAGTGAGAATATTTTTGTTAAAAACTTTTTTTTATGAATTTTCAAATATAAATTTAGTAAGAAAATTGTTAATAAAATTATTAAACAAAAAAATTGAATTTACAATGTCTATAAATTTACCTCTCCATTTGCCTAATTTTAGTGAGAATATTTTTTTTTAATTTTTTTCGAAAATATTTACGATTTTCTCTATACTTACCCGTACAATGTATGCACGTTCACTAAAAGAAATATATTTATTTGCGTGCATAAAAATGAAATCACAATTATTATGTCATTGCAATTGGCATTGAAAAGTGAAGAAAACAATTGTGACATTTACAAAAAAGGAAAAGTAAAAAAAAAAATCATATAAAAAATAAATAATAATTCAAAGTGAAAAAAAACAAAAAAACAAAATATTAAAAAGAAAAAAATATGTACAAGCGCATTAATAATAAATGAAAAAAACCTCAACTGCTTTCCAACCGACAACTCGCCACTTCCGCCTTTTGTGTTCGCAACGAAAAATCACAGACTTTGTCAAATAAACAACCAGACCAACAAAGCTGCTTTCTGCTTTCTTGCCCCAGCCGCACGGCGACGCTCACATCATTTCATGTGCTGCAGTTTGCATGTCGTGCTTTTTCTCCTGCTCCTGCTCCTCCTCCTCCCTCTCCTTCGGCTCTTCTACTACTGCTTTTCCTTCTTCTTCCTCAACCGCTGTGCGCTGTGCGGGCATCTGGGTTGCCACAAAATTCCGCTTATGAAATTCTTACACAATTCCTCTTCCATGTGCGAAAACGGCGAGCAACAATATAATATTTATGTACATACATACATATAAATATTTATGTATGTATGTGAATAATATTTTCATCTCTACATAAGTGTATATATGTAATATGTATGTATGTATGTATGCATGTATGCATGTGCCTGGCATTCACAGAACCACATCATACTAGTCTATTCCATTTTCAACCACTTACGTGCACTTAATTCAGCATAGTTTCATTACAATTTCAGTCGCCGTGCTCCATATAGTCGCCCCCGACTTGTATGTACTGTTAGTTTATAAGATTACAAACATGCATACATACATACAGGCGAATTGTTAACCTCCCTCTACCCGTTGGCTATCAACCAACTGATGGTTAGATTTTGTTACACAGCTCACTGTTGTTTCATTTCCCTTCTTTGCATTCTTTCGCAGGCTCGACTTGCATTGTTGTTGTTGCTGCTAGTTATGCCTTCTGCTTCCCTCTTTTTAGCGGTGTTTTGTATGTATGCATTTGCTCAACTGCTTTACACGCCACAAGCTCATTCATTCATGCCATGCACTCAGCGTACAGCCTCCCGGTTTGCTGGCGTAAAATTTTACTCACTCACTCCCTGAGCCGACTCAGTGTGAAGTGCGTACTCACTCAATATCTTATTGTGTGGCTTATGATGTTGAGGGTAGAATATGTCTCTTTAATACTTTGCTCTGGTGGATTGAGAATGCAGAGATTGAGTTTGTTGAAGCTTTTATTTTCCTTTGCTTTACTTTCTTTGAAAAAATCAACCAGAGAGTTAGCTAAGCAAAAATTATCCGGAAAAGTTCA